TTGCAGTGTTATCCGGAATGTATTTATCGTGAAACGAATTCCCTACAGGCTGATGGAGATATACATATTGAAAATGTTCAAAAGTTTTTGACAACAAATATCGAACAACGTGACAGGGTTATTGTGCCAACAATTGTTGAATCCTTTCGTACATGCTTGACCAACAGTGCGTATGAATAGTGTATTACTTAAATGTAATGTATTAACACTCTATCCCTTCCCATACACCACCCACTTGTGCCATTTTATACCCTCATTTCTTCCTTATGAATTTATTATCTTTATAATTTTTGTTTTAATTCCTCTTTTTTTGTTGTTGTATTTTGTCTATCTTTCCTTTAACATTTCATTAATTTCATTTCTCTTCAGTCAAACAAAATATGCAGGCCAAAGGCATAAAAATGTTTTCGAAATTAACTGACTTGGGCTGTTCTCCATATGCCAGTATGGTTTATGGTTGTGTTAATGCTGAAACCTTCCTACACTGTCCCCCAGAGATGTGGCAACAAAATGAAAACTCTTGTAATTTGGCTAAAAGTTTTGCCCAGCAATGTAACCCTTTACCTCACGTACCCATGCCCATGGCTTAATGTGCGAGCGCACAAGTGTAATTATTTAATAAATAAGTTAAATTGTTATAAATTATTAGTTTTTAGAATAGAATTTAGTTACAGATGTATTAATAAATAAATGATTGAATTAAAGAAAACTATTGAGTGTATAACCTAAATCTGGGGGATTCACTTAAAATTCACCTATAGACTAGGCTATAAACTAGACAATAGACTAGACAACAGTAGAAACAATAGACTAGACTACAGACTAGACTATAGACTAGACTACAGACTAGACTATAGACTAGACTACAGACTAGACTATAGACTAGACTACAGACTAGACTATAGACTAGACTATAGACTAGACTATAGACTAGATTATAGACTAGACTATAGACTAGACTATAGGCTAGACTATAGGCTAGACTATAGACTAGACTATAGACTGTAGACTAGACTATAGACTAGACTATAGACTAGACTGTAGGCTAGACTATAGACTATAGACTAGACTATAGACTATAGACTAGACTATAGACTAGACTATAGACTAGACTATAGACTAGACTATAGACTAGACTATAGACTAGACTATAGACTAGACTATAGACTAGACTATAGACTAGACTATAGACTAGACTATAGACTAGACTATAGACTAGACTATAGACTAGACTATAGACTAGACTATAGACTAGACTATAGACTAGACTATAGACTAGACTATAGACTAGACTATAGACTAGACTATAGACTAGACTATAGACTAGACTATAGACTAGACTATAGACTAGACTATAGACTAGACTATAGACTAGACTATAGACTAGACTATAGACTAGACTATAGACTAGACTATAGACTAGACTATAGACTAGACTATAGACTAGACTATAGACTAGACTATAGACTAGACTATAGACTAGACTATAGACTAGACTATAGACTAGACTATAGACTAGACTATAGACTAGACTATAGACTAGACTATAGACTAGACTATAGACTAGACTATAGACTAGACTATAGACTAGACTATAGACTAGACTATAGACTAGACTATAGACTAGACTATAGACTAGACTATAGACTAGACTATGGACTAGACTATAGACTAGACATAGACTAGACTATAGACTAGACTTTAGACTAGACTAGACTAGACTATAGACTAGACTATAGACTAGACTATAGACTAGACTATAGACTAGACTATAGACTAGACTATAGACTAGACTATAGACTAGACTATAGACTAGACTATAGACTAGACTATAGACTAGACTATAGACTAGACTATAGACTAGACTATAGACTAGACTATAGACTAGACTATAGACTAGACTATAGACTAGACTATAGACTAGACTATAGACTAGACTATAGACTAGACTATAGACTAGACTATAGACTAGACTATAGACTAGACTAGACTATAGACTAGACTATAGACTAGACTATAGACTAGACTATAGACTAGAAACTAGACCATAAACTAGAAACTAGACTATAAACTAGAAACTAGACTATAGACAAGACTAAATACTTGGGTCAATTGTAGGTTCGGATATAGTAGGGTATGGTCGTCATTACTTTTTTACTTCTTGTGAAATTTCAATACTTGTTATGAATATCTGTGTTCCTATGTATTGCTTTCAACAACACTCAAAGAGTACCTTATCTGAATCATCTTCTAAATAAATTAATCAAGCAAAAACTAATTGATAAATAAACCATTTTTTTGTAAATTTTACTTATGCCCTTCTATTGTGGAAAAAACAGATCCATTTCATATGTTAAATTATCCATGAAAAACTGATGTTTATCTTAAAATACCATCAAAATGAAAAAACAAAACTAATTATAAAGAAATTTGAAAAACCCTCATTATAAAAAAACACATTCAACATTTAACGGCCATGGGGTATAAACTTTACATGCTGCTACAATTTGTTTGTATGACAACACCAATTTGGGCAGCTTTTAAGGATTTTGTCATAGAAAATGAGGTGAGTAAAAGGTGAAAAAACCAAATTAATAATAATTAACAAATTCCGTTAATAAAGCATGATTTAGAACGTTTCGGTTTAAACAATAACGATATGGTGTACGATGACGTGGACTTGGAATATCAGATGCTAAATGACGACATTTATGAGGATGAAGCTTCTTATGGTGCTCTTGCTGGCAGTTGTGGTGACTATGGTGGAATGAGCAATAGCTATGATATATTCAGAAGCTATGACGAAGACTTAGGTGGTGTGTCTATGCCTGGCTATGAAGGCCAAATTGATAAGAATCTTCTGAGAGAAATTATACGTCAGTTAGCTAATGATCCACGTTTTCAACACTTAAAGGAACATTTAACTGAGGGTAAGTTTAAAATACGTTAAAAATAACATTTTGTGAATCGTATGGTTTTCAGATAAATTGCTATTGAGTTATAATGACGGAAGTGATAATGATGAGAATTTCCCAACACAAAATTATGTGGATTATTATGACGAAGATCATAATTACTTTTAAAATTATAAACAGAAAAAAGTTTAGAGATTAAATTAATAAAAACTAGAAAAATATTAATACAAAATAACAACAAAAACGTTTTCTTAATACAAAACTTCATTTACTTGATCATGCAGTCTGTGATCACTTTTATTTCCAACCAAAACTCGATTTAGTAGTGAAAAACTAAAAGTCCATTTTCTGGCTAAACTAAAGGCGCTAGGAGGATAAGGACAAAGATCTGTGATCACTTTAATTTCCAACCAAAACTCAATTTTGTGGTGAAAAACTAAAAGTCCATTTTCTGGCTAAACTAATAGAGCTAGGAGCAAAAGGATGAAAATCTGTGATCACTTTTATTTTCAACCAAAACTCGATTTTGTGGTGAAAAACTAAAAGTCCACTTTCTGGCTAAACTAAAGGCGCTAGGAGGAAAAGGATGAAATCTGTAATCAATTTTATTTTCAACCAAAACTCGATTTTGTGGTGAAAAACTAAAAGTCCATTTTCCGGCTCAACTAATAGAGCTAGGAGCAAAAGGATGAACATCTGTGATCACTTTTATTTCCCACCAAAACTCGATTTTATGGTGAAAAACTAAAAGTCCATTTTCTGGCTAAACTAATGGAGCTAGGAGCAAACGGATAAAAATCTGTGATCACTTTTATTTCCAACCAAAACTTGATTTTGTGGTGAAAAACTAAAAGTCCATTTTCTGGCTAAATTAAAGGCACAAGGAAGAAAAGGACAAAGATCTGTGATCACTTTTATTTCCAACCAAAACTCAATTTTGTGGTGAAAAACTAAAAGTCCATTTTCTGGCTCAACTAATAGAGCTAGGAGCAAAAGGATGAAAATCTGTGATCACTTTTATTTCCAAACAAAACTCGACTTTATGGTGAAAAACTAAAAGTCCATTTTGTGTCTAAACTAATGGAGCTAGGAGCAAACGGATGAAAATCTGTGATCACTTTTATTTCCAACCAAAACTCGATTTTGTGGTGAAAAACTAAAAGTCCGTTTTCTGGCTAAACTAAAGGCGCTAGGAGGAAAAGGACAAAGATCTGTGATCACTTTTATTTCTAACCAAAACTCGATTTTGTGGTGAAAAGCTAAAAGTCCATTTTCTGGCTAAACTAATAGAGCTAGGAGCAAAAGGATGAAAATCTGCGATCACTTTTATTAAAAGTCCGTTTTGTGTCTTAACTAAAGGCGCTTGGAGGAAAAGGACAAAGATCTGTGATCACTTTTATTTCCAACCAAAACTCGATTTTGTGGTGAAAAACTTAAAGTCCATTTTCTGGCTAAACTAATAGAGCTAGGAGCAGAAGGATGAGAATCTATGATCACTTTTATTTCCAACCAAAACTCGATTTTGTGGTGAAAAACTAAAAGTCCATTTTCTGGCTAAACTAATAGAGCTAGGAGCAAAAGGATGAAAATCTGTGATCACTTTTATTTTCAACCAAAACTCGATTTTGTGTTGAGCAAAATCTGTCAATATCTGTGATCAATTAGAAACTGTGATCTATATGAAGAAGCTGAAAAAGTTATCATATTGTATTCGAAGTAACTTTAGTAATAAGGTCACATTATGGGAAACCCTAAACAAATAGAATCAATAGAAAAATTTTCCAGTTCACTTAACATCAAAAACTTTTAACTTTATTTTTATACTTATTGTTATACATTGTTCAACATTGTTCAAGAAATGCAACAACAACAAATGGACACAAGCTTAACGCATAAAAGTTACCGTTTTTTTATTTATTGACACTGCTAATTAACAGACACTTTCATTCAAATTCAAATTTAAAGACGAAAAAAAAACGTAAAAATGTTCTAATTAAACTGATACACATCGTCTATTGAGGCGTTTAAAAGCTTTAACAAATTACAATGCAAAACATTTAGTTTAGTTTTATTTAAGAAGTTAAAGACTTAACACCACTTGTAGAAGAAAAAAGAAAAAGAAATTGTAGTTCGAAATTTTTAAAATTACAAATAACTATTTAAAAAAAAAATAAGAATTTTACGTTTAAATTAAAAAAAATACTAAGATTAAAATGCAATTTTTAAAAATATATGTTACTCTGGTGATATTTTGTTGTTATATTAGATTATCGCATAATGCTCTATTCTTTCCCTCAAACAGTGCTTATGGTGTAAGATTTTGCAATTGTAGTTTTTCGTATGTTTGTGTTAAATAATTTAAAATTGTTATACATTTTTTTTTTTGTTTTTATTAAAAGGTATTTGCTGCCATTGCGGTACCTTTAGATTTACCTCATCGTAATGTTTTCATTTCGTATAATTTCGAAGCAAATTATAATTTACCAGAGACTTGGAATTTACCACCATATGCGGTGAGTATCTTAAGTATATTTTTGAGAATGTTTCTCAATTTAATCGAATTGTGTTAGATCATAAGTTCTTGGTGTACTAGGTGATAAAATACTTTCTCTTTTTTGTTATTTTTGTATTTGAAAATTAAAAAAAAAACTGATGTAAATTATAAATGGCTTGCATATGTTACAATTATAAAGCATGATTATTGTGAATCAGAGATTTGTTATTTAAACCGGGTTTTCAGGGCCTTCTAGCAGCTATCTAATAGACCAAAATTTAAAATTCAATTCAAATTTGATAATTTCTACTTCAAAGTAAGAAGAGCCTTCCGTTACACAAAAATGGACCTAAAAACATTTACCAAAGATTTTGGTGTAAATCGAAACTAAGACATGCGAACTAACCGAATTGAAAACCACCAACGAACCTACTAGAGCAGCCTAGGTGGAGTATTAAATAATATTAATATTAAGGCAATTGGCTAGTCTATAGTCTAGACTACGCTATTGTCTAGCATATAGTATAGAGTAGGCTACTGTCTAGTCTATTGTCCAGACTATTGTCTTGTCTAAAGCCTATACTATGATCTAGTCTAAACTAGGCTATTGTTTTGTGTATATGGTCCAGTCTATGGTCTAATCTATAGTCTGGACTATAGTCTAGTCTATAGTCTGAACTATTATCTAGTTTATCGTCTGGACTATAGAGTATCTATAGGCTGAACTATGGTATAGTCTATAGGCTGAAATATAGTATAGTCTATAAGCTGGACTATAGTCTAGTCTACAGGCTGAACTATATTCTAGTCTATACTCTAGACTATAGTCTAGTCTATAGTCTAGTTTATAGTCTAGTCTATAGTCTATAGTGTAGTCTATAGTCTAGTCTATAGTCTAGTCTATAGTCTAGTCTATAGTCTAGTCTATAGTCTAGTCTATAGTCTAGTCTATAGTCTAGTCTATAGTCTAGTTTATAGTCTAGTCTATAGTCTAGTCTATAGTCTAGTCTATAGTCTAGTCTATAGTCTAGTCTATAGTCTAGTCTATAGTCTAGTCTATAGTCTAGTCTATAGTCTAGTCTATAGTCTAGTCTATAGTCTAGTCTATAGTCTAGTCTATAGTCTAGTCTATAGTCTAGTCTAGTCTATAGTCTAGTCTATAGTCTAGTCTAGTCTATAGTCTATAGTCTATAGTCTATAGTCTAGTCTAGTCTAGTCTAGTCTATAGTCTATAGTCTATAGTCTAGTCTAGTCTAGTCTAGTCTAGTCTAGTCTAGTCTAGTCTATAGTCTAGTCTAGTCTATAGTCTAGTCTATAGTCTAGTCTATAGTCTAGTCTATAGTCTAGTCTATAGTCTAGTCTATAGTCTAGTCTATAGTCTAGTCTATAGTCTAGTCTATAGTCTAGTCTATAGTCTAGTCTATAGTCTAGTCTATAGTCTAGTCTATAGTCTAGTCTATAGTCTAGTCTATAGTCTAGTCTATAGTCTAGTCTATAGTCTAGTCTATAGTCTAGTCTATAGTCTAGTCTATAGGCTAGTCTAAACTCTAGTCTATAGTCTAGTCTATAGTCTAATCTATAGTCTAGTCTATAGTCTAGTCTATAGTCTAGTCTATAGTCTAGTCTATAGTCTAGTCTATAGTCTAGTCTATAGTCTAGTCTATAGTCTAGTCTATAGTCTAGTCTATAGTCTAGTCTATAGTCTAGTCTATAGTCTATAGTCTAGTATATAGTCTAGTCTATAGTCTAGTCTATAGTCTAGTCTATAGTCTAGTATATAGTCTAGTCTATAGTCTAGTCTATAGTCTAGTCTATAGTCTAGTCTATAGTCTAGTCTATAGTCTAGTCTATAGTCTAGTCTATAGTCTAGTCTATAGTCTAGTCTATAGTCTAGTCTATAGTCTAGTCTATAGTCTAGTCTATAGTCTAGTCCATAGTCTAGTCTATAGTCTAGTCTATAGTCTAGTCTATAGTCTAGTCTATAGTCTAGTCTATAGTCTAGTCTATAGTCTAGTCTATAGTCTAGTCTATAGTCTAGTCTATAGTCTAGTCTATAGTCTAGTCTATAGTCTAGTCTATAGTCTAGTCTATAGTCTAGTCTATAGTCTAGTCTATAGTCTAGTCTATAGTCTAGTCTATAGTCTAGTCTATAGTCTAGTCTATAGTCTAGTCTATAGTCTAGTCTATAGTCTAGTCTATAGTCTAGTCTATAGTCTAGTCTATAGTCTAGTCTATAGTCTAGTCTATAGTCTAGTCTATAGTCTAGTCTATAGTCTAGTCTATAGTCTAGTCTATAGTCTAGTCTATAGTCTAGTCTATAGTCTAGTCTATAGTCTAGTCTATAGTCTAGTCTATAGTCTAGTCTATAGTCTAGTCTATAGTCTAGTCTATAGTCTAGTCTATAGTCTAGTCTATAGTCTAGTCTATAGTCTAGTCTATAGTCTAGTCTATAGTCTAGTCTATAGTCTAGTCTATAGTCTAGTCTATAGTCTAGTCTATAGTCTAGTCTATAGTCTAGTCTATAGTCTAGTCTATAGTCTAGTCTATAGTCTAGTCTATAGTCTAGTCTATAGTCTAGTCTATAGTCTAGTCTATAGTCTAGTCTATAGTCTAGTCTATAGTCTAGTCTATAGTCTAGTCTATAGTCTAGTCTATAGTCTAGTCTATAGTCTAGTCTATAGTCTAGTCTATAGTCTAGTCTATAGTCTAGTCTATAGTCTATAGTATAGGCTATAGTCTCGTCTATGTCTAGTCTATTAGTCTAGTCTATAGTCTATTCTATAGTCAGTCTATAGTTAGTCTATAGTCTAGGTCTATAGTCTAGTATATAGTCTAGTCTATAGTCTCTCTATAGTCTAGTCTATGTCTAGTCTATAGTCTAGTCTATAGTATAGTCTTAGTCTAGGTCTATAGTATAGTCTAGTCTATAGTCTAGTCTATAGTAGTCTATAGTCTAGTATATGTCTAGTCTATAGTCTAGTCTATAGTCTAGTCTATAGTCTAGTCTATAGTCTAGTCTATATTATAGTCTATAGTCTTAGGTCTATAGTCTAGTCTTATGTCTAGTCTATAGTCTAGTCTATGTCTAGTCTCTAGTCTAGTTATGTAGCTCTATTAGTCTAGTCTATAGTATAGTCTATAGTCTAGTCTATAGTCTAGTCTATAGTCTAGTCTATAGTCTAGGTCTATAGTCTAGTCTAATAGTCTAGTGCTATAGTCTATTCTATAAGTCTCTAGTATATTCCTTCACCCACTAAAAAAATACTAGTTCCAAAGAGTCGCTTGAACTTATGATTTATAAAGAAGTCGTGTAATTCGTTTACCTACAGGTTCAAAATCTGATTTTAAAGTATCATAAAAAAATACACGCATTTGTCTAATATTTATCGTTTTGCTTAAAAAAATCCAAAATCTCTAATTAAAATTTTTTATTAACAGATAGGCGTAGAAGAGGAAGATCTTTTCGAAGATGCAGCTAGATATAATAGTGGCAAAGATTGTACAAATTGTACATCGTCATCATCAGAGGAAGAAACTGTCGAAGATGTTGAAGTTGATAATGAAGAAATTATGGAGGAAAATGATATTGACAACACTACAACACCCTACAGAAATGAAACTGAATCGAATAATAGAAGAAAAAGAGGCAGGAAACGTAGAGAAATACCCTCGCTACTGACAAGAACACATTTCTATCATATATTGATAGATAAATTTGAAAGGTAAGCGTAGGTAGTATGTTAGATTTGCTAAATTTAGAAAATTTGTCTTTGTAGAAGTGGCTTTGAGGGTGAGCCCTGTTTGTTGCGTTTAATTTGTGAGACAAATGCTTCGGAATTGGGAGAAATAAACGGTGTCTTGGGCAATTTAATACATATAATGTTTTCGTAAGTTTTAGACAATAATTATTTTAAATACTTCATTATTCCAATTTTTACTTATATTTTAGTCCTACTACCTCCAAAAATGAAAATTTACCCTTGGCTTACTATCAAGCAGAAATAGATGGTATACATGATCAATGTCATCATTATGAGGAAGAATGCTCGGAAAGCATACTGGATTTAATATCAACACCCATACATGAATATATTGAACAAATGGAAATGGAAATTAACAATTTAGGAAAATGATATTGAAATAAATTTGGATTTGAAAATGCATACATTAATGAAATTAAATACATTCGAACAAGTATGGAGACTTATTACGCGACCCCAATTTTACTTATAAACAAATACAAAAAAACTTTATACAACAGTACAACAGTTGTTGAAGATATTTATTGACAACAAAGATAAATTGCATTTGAGATGTTTATAGATGATCAGCTGCAAGAAGTTTTCTGTTTAAATAATAAGAACTTTTTAAAAACAACTTTCACAAAAAACTTGAAAAAAATCCGCGGTTCAGATTTTGTACGACTTTCGAAAGCTACTAACTAAAACTAGTTACTTGAAAACAATTTTCTCACAAAACTCAAAAAAAAAATCTGCAGTTCAGATTTTGAAAGCTACTTACTAAAACAAGCAAAAGAAAATAAAAATCTAAAACTTACTTGTTATGATCTTGAATTTGTTGAAAACAGCTTAAGATTTTCAATGGTTTATTTTGTAATTAACTTATAAATCTGCAAGAAAAAAACAAAAATAATTAACTTAACAAGCCTTTTCAAAATTAAATCAACAAAAGTTACCATAATTTTTTTTTTCAAATAAAGAGAGTAACATTGGTTCTCCAAAATAATAAAAACTTATAGTTGAAAATTAAAGACAGTAGTAGCAGCTATTTATGCTGACGCATTTTGCGTTCTTGCCAAGTGACAAATTTAGTATTGGCTGATTGTAATAAACGGTTTAAATGTTGGGTTAAAGTGCCGCCCAAAGGAGAGAGTTTTTGTAAGCAGCGATCCTGAAATATAAACAAAAACGTAAATAAAGTTTCATTTACTGATATGAAAGAGATTACCTCAAAGGGTTGCAATTTGGCCATTTTAAAACGCTGCAAAGCTTCGTGCATTTTCAAAGCTTTAGTTTCTAATTCCTGAGTAGTGGGTGGAAAACAGTGCCAAAAGTGTTTTAATAATTCCGACAAAGCTAAATATAAATTACGCAAATCTTTTTCAAAATCTGGAGGTACAAGTTCTAAGGAATAAAATGGAAGTATAGTTAAACATATGCTCGATTATTTCTAATTATTGCTACTTACGTCCCACCGACTGTTCTTGAAAACCTCTCATAAGGGCTCCTCCAGGACTTAGTTCACCCAAGGCATTTACCGCTGCCGTTGAGCTTACTAATACTTTATGAGGTACTCGTTGATTCCAATTTTCTGTAGATCTTAACAATTGATATTGTATCTCTTCCATACGTCTGGGATCCTCATGCATTTCGTAACCGGTACTAGGCATGGGTCCATGCAAATAACGTTCCACTTTGGAAAGATTAATTTGTTGTGTTTTCTTTTTCGCTTCTGAATTCAAGCTGCCATCAGGATCAACTTGCGGTTCACCCAAATCTTCATAGTGTATTTTTTCCATAATTTTTTGACGTTTCGAAGGTTTCTCGGGACTATTCACTGTACTAGTGCCTGCACCATTTTGTGTGACTTCTTTATTTTTTGATTTCTCCACTGAGCCATTTTCAGTTTTACTATCTTTTGCTTGATTATTCAGAGGACCAGTGGCGGCTCCACTTGAGGCAGCATTAACATCCGCACAAGTCTTCAAGACCATTATCGAATGTTGATTGAAACGTTTAATCATATTTTGATGTACTATATTACCACTATTCACGGTATTACGATCACCAGCCACACTACAGAAACCATCTTCTAAAGGAACATCTTCAAATTGTTTAAGATCGAGTAAAGGATCACCAGCACCCTGCTGCACAGCAGCTTTCAGGGTTTGATCATCAATTTTACCACATTCTGCAAAAATATCCTTTGTCCCTGCCGTTATGCGATCACGATGAAAGTAATGAGACTGAAAGAATTTTGTCCAAAATTCCGCTTCACTCAATTTGGCAGGAACATTTTCTTGATGTTTACGCTTGACGGCAGGATATGTTTTGAAAATACAATGGATAATATCATCGGTGAGATTATATTTGAGGCCATTACAGCCATCAGTCTGTGGTTTTATGTCGGCTAAAAAGGCACCAGAAACACCTGGGGAAAAAATAATATGTTTTTAGAACTGAACTAGAGCTACACTAGAATTGAACTAGAACTGAACATGAACTGTACTAGTACAGAACTAGAACTGAATAAGAACAGAACTAGAACTAAACTAGAACTGAACTAGAACTGAACTAGAACTGAACTAGAACTGAACTAGAACTGAACTAGAACTGAACCAGAACTGATCTAGAACTGAACTAGAACTGAACTAGAACAGAACTAGAACTGAACTAGAACTGAACTAGAACTGAACTAGAACTGAACTAGAACTGAACTAGAACTGAACTAGAACTGAACTAGAACTGAACTAGAACTGAACTAGAACTGAACTAGAACTGAACTAGAACTGAACTAGAACTGAACTAGAACTGAACTAGAACTGAACTAGAACTAGAACTGAACTAGAACTGAACTAGAACTGAACTAGAACTGAACTAGAACTGAACTAGAACTGAACTAGAACTGAACTAGAACTGAACTAGAACTGAACTAAGAACTGAACTAGAACTGAACTAGAACTGAACTAACTGAACTGAACTAGAACTGAACTGAACTAGAACTGAACTAGAACTGACTAGAACTGAACTAGAACTGAACTAGAACTGAACTAGAACTGAACTAGAACTGAACTAGAACTGAACTAGAACTGAACTAGAACTGAACTAGAACTGAACTAGAACTGAACTAGAACTGAACTAGAACTGAACTAGAACTGAACTAGAACTGAACTAGAACTGAACTAGAACTGAACTAGAACTGAACTAGAACTGAACTAGAACTGAACTAGAACTGAACTAGAACTGAACTAGAACTGAACTAGAACTGAACTAGAACTGAACTAGAACTGAACTAGAACTGAACTAGAACTGAACTAGAACTGAAATAAACTGAACTAGAACTGAACTAGAACAGAGCTAGAACTGAACTAGAACAGAGCTAGAACTGAACTAGAACTGAACTAGAACTGAACTAGAACTGAACTAGAACTGAACTAGAACTAAATTAGAACTGAACTAGAACTGAACTAGAACTGAACTAGAACTGAACTAGAACTGAACTAGAACTGAACTAGAACTGAACTAGAACTGAACTAGAACTGAACTAGAACTGAACCAGAACTGAACTAGACTGACTAGAACTGAACTAGAACTGAACTAGAACTGAACTAGAACTGAACTAGAACTGAACTAGAACTGAACTAGAACTGAACTAGAACTGAACTAGAACTGAACTAGAACTGAACTAGAACTGAACTAGAACTGAACTAGAACTGTACTAGAACTGAACTAGAACTGAACTAGAACAGAGCTAGAACTGAACTAGAACTGAACTAGAACAGAGCTAGAACTGAACTAGAACTGAACTAGAACTGAACTAGAACTGAACTAGAACTGAACTAGAACTGAACTAGAACTGAACTAGAACTGAACTTGAACTGAACTAGAACTGAACTAGAACTGAACTAGAACTTAACTAGAACTGAACTAAAACAGAGCTAGAACTGAACTAGAACTGAACTAGAACTGAACTAGTTCTGAACTAGAACTGAACTAGAACTGAACTAGAACTGAACTAGAACTGAACTAGAACTGAACTAGAACTGAACTAGAACTGAACTAGAACTGAACTAGAACTGAAATAGAACTGAACTAGAACTGAACTAGAACTGTACTAGAACTGAACTAGAACTGAACTAGAACAGACCTAGAACTGAACTAGAACTGAACTAGAACTAAATTAGAACTGAACTAGAACTGAACTAGAACTGAACTAGAACTGAACTAGAACTGAACTAGAACTGAACTAGAACTGAACTAGAACTGAACTAGAACTGAACTAGAACTGAACTAGAACTGAACTAGAACTGAACTAGAACTGAACTAGAACTGAACTAGAACTGAACTAGAACTGAACTAGAACTGAACTAGAACTGAACTAGAACTGAACTAGAACTGAACTAGAACTGAACTACAACTGAACTACAACTGAACTACAACTGAACTACAACTGAACTAGAACTGAACTAGAACTGAACTGAACTAGAACTGAATTAGAACTGTACTAGAACTGAACTAGAACTGAACTAGAACTAAACTAGAACTGAATTAGAACTGAAATAGAACTGAACTAGAACTGAACTAGAACTGTACTAGAACTGAACTAGAACTGAACTAGAACTGAACTAGAACTGAACTGGAACTGAACTAGAACTGAACTAGAACTAAACTAGAACTGAACTAGAACTGAACCACAACTGAACTAGAACTAAACTAGAACTGAACTAATACTGAACAAGGACTGAACTAAAACTGAACTAGAACTGTACTACAACTGAACTAAAACTGAACTAAAATAGAACTGAAATAGAAGCGAACTAGAACTGAAATAGAATTAAATAGAAATGAACATGAACTAAAGATGAACTAAAACTGACTAGAACTGAACTAAAACTGAACTAGAACTGAATTAGAACTGAACTAGAACTAAACTAGAACTGAACTAGAACTGAACTAGAACTGAACTAGAACTGAACTAGAACTGAATTAGAACTTGAACAGAACTAGAACTACAACTGAATTATAACTGAACTTAAACTGTTCTATAACTGAACTAGTACTGAACCAAAACTGAACTAGAACTGAACTAGAACTGAACTAGAACTGAACTAGAACTGATCTAAAAATGAACTAGAACTTAACTAGAACTGAACTAGAACTGAACTAGAACTGAACTAGAACTGAACTAGAACTGAACTAGAACTGAACTAGAACTGAACTAGAACTGAACTAAAACTGAACTAGAACTGAAATAGAACTGAACTAGAATTGAACTAGAACTCAACAAGAACTGAACTAGAACTGATCTAAAAATGAACTAGAATTTAACTAGAACTGAATTATGATTTTCGAAGTTTTCCAAATCGATGTTTTTTTTTTAATTTTAGGAAAATTTTCTTAAATTTTAACTCACCTATACTTTGCTTTTTAT